AGCCCGATACTCTTTGAATTTTTCAAAAGCATCTGACTTTCGAGTCATTAGGTAGACGTATCCGAATCTAGAGTAATCATCGATAAAAGTGATAAAATACTCAAAACCCCCTTCGTAGGTGTATTCATGGGTCCACATACATCAGAATGAACTAGTTCTAATATTTTTTTGGCTCTATGTCCTTTTGCTAGAAAGGATATCTTGGTCATTTTACCCTCCAAACAAGAATCACAAACTGACGATGGTTTGACCTTAAGTGAGTTAAGTGGACCATCTCTAGCCAATCTTTGTATCATGTTAAGGTTAATATGTCCAAGTCTAAGATGCCATAAATAAGTATCACTAGTATGGTTAGACATTCGTTCATGGTTTGCCGAAGTAACATTTATTTCATTTGTGACACAATTTAAAATATAAAGACCATTAACTAAATATCCAGCACAAATAGGAGCTTTATTCTTTAAAATATAAAGCGCATCATGCGCAGAGTTTACAGAATAACCCTGTCATATTAAACAAGAAACAAAAATCAAATTCCGCTTCATCTGGGGGACATAATAACAGTTTTTAAGAATTAAACGCCTACCACTATTGAAATAAAAGTAAATTACTCCTACTGCTCTTGCTGATACTATAGCTCCTGTGCCGATAGTAATTTTAAACTGGCCTTTCTGAGCCTTCTGCTCTCCTGAAGCACCTGCATAGACATGTATATATGATTAGTGGCTCTAGAGTCTACAACCCATAAATTTGTAGAATCAACCACCAAACATGACTCAGCAATAAAGAACTCACCAACACCCAACTTTTTAGGTTGTGCATCAGGGCAGTCTTTCTTCCAGTGTCTTTTACGACCATAGTGGAAACACTTGCCTTTCGGCGTTCCATCTGATTTGGGCTTTTTGTTGCTTTCTGGCTTCTTGTTTAGATCTTTTCCTCTTCTTTCCAATTTCGCCTTTCGGCTTGGAGCCAGAGGAGCTAGCAATTACCGTATGAGCATGGCCACCCTTACCCTTGAGACTACTTTACACATTTTGCAACTCATTCACCAACTCAGTTAATGACATATTCATCTTGTACAAGTGATAGTCTACAGTAAACTGTGAAAATATATCAGATAAAGAATTCAATACCATATCAACTTGAATTTCCTGATCAATAGTTGCACCCAGATTCTCCGCCACGTGGAAGTGTACAATCATAGTCAACATATGATCCTTCATAGGCGTTTCGGGTTTCATGCGGATGTTCTGTAAGGTACGAATGGCTTCAAAACGAGCCCTCCTACTTTGATGTCCAAACATGCCCTTCAGGCTTTCTAGTATGTCATAAAAGGTCTCCTGACTTTCAAGCTTTTGCCGTAATACGTTTGACATGGATGCTAAAATGTAACAGCGAACCATCTTCTCAGCCGCTATCCACTTATCATACGCAGCCCTCTTGGACTTGCCTATAGTCTCAGTAGGTTTCTCGGGACATTCTTCTTCGAGCACAAAATCAAGTTTTTCGGCAATAAGCACAAACATCAAATTACATTTCCAATCCACATAATTATCCCCGACAAGTTGGTTTGTTTTAGAATAACGGAAAAAGCGCTAAGAGACATTTTGTTGAAAAATAACAATTTATTGCATATTAAAATTGAGCAGCGAATGACAATTTAGCATATGATGACAATAATGCAACGATGACTTGATCCCTATGATCCAACATGCCTCTCTATAGGAAAGGTCAATGTGTTCACTAATCAAGATGAGACCCTCCCACTCAAATAAAATATATCTGACAACAAATGTCTATATTAAGTCTAGCATCGTTTTATTTGGTCACCAAAATTATAGACGAGAGCCTCTATAGGAGGTTTATAGATAATTTCAATTTGAGTGTACAACCTTTGTCTCAATCTCTAAACACTTGAAAATAATTTCACCATCTATAGGATGATCACAAATTATATTCTATTTAGATGATTTTATCATTAAAAAATCCAATCAAGCAACTTGAACCACACAACCCTCCTATGGGGAGTCCGTTGCATTACTGGCACGAGGCAAGCGTGTTACTTGCTTATGGATTGACCAAAGGAGACCGTGGATTTTTATTTAAATAAACACCCTCTCCCACTTAATATTTTAAAATAATGGATTTTAATTGAAACAATTACCAACTATTCATATTAATTAAATTAATATACAGTTTAACTCTTATGATTTTTCTATCCAAAATAATTTAATTTAAATTAAATTAATCAAAGAAAAATCTGTGTTAAATGATATGCATCCTATTCATAATATTACGAACGATGTCATAAATAAATCTATATGTCATGATATCAAGAATGACAATATTTCAAACAATAATTTAAAGCATTCATAAAGTGATAAAAAACAACAATTATACGTGGCCCTAAAAGGCTTAAAAAATAAAGAAAAAAATTGGACCAAAGCTCAAAACTTAATCTAAATCTCCAAACATCCAACAGCAGCTTATCCAAAAATAGCAAAAAATAAAAAATAAAAAAAATCTACCACTACACCTGCAATAATTTTCAATTTTTTCTTTTTGAAATCCCTTTTTACAGATAAAACAGTCTGCACGTGGAAACAGCTATCTGCCGTGTGCAGATAGGTCTATCTACTGTCTGCCGCAGCTATGCAGTATTAATTTTTTTTTGTAATAAAATTAATCTTTGAATTCTTTGTCCTCCTTCTTCAAGTCTTCTTCGTCAATTTTCAAAATCCAAAAATTACAAGAATTACATAAATTCCTATGTCCCGTAGGCTCACAAATTTTGAATCTAATTGTACAGAAAATTAAATCAAGATGATGGAGTCGTAATCCACCTATCATGTTACAAACTCGAAATAACAAATTACATCAAAAACTGGCCACAAATAATTGGTTCACAGTTTAAAATAATCCAATCATTCAATCAATATATAAAAATTTTCTAAACATCGCTCGACTAGAACAT